TTAAGTCAATTGTCGTGACAAAACAAAATCTAGCATGTGCAGCGAACCTCACCATCACTGGTCCTCTGGTTGATGTTAAAGGCTAGAATGTGCTTCTTTCAGTTCTGCAGTTCTAAGACAACTTTGCAATATTAAATACATACTATAGTTTGATTAGAATATAATCTTGTACATATGCCTTTGGAGGTAAGCCTCTCCAACTCAGTTATAAATCAGGAAAGAAAACTACATTTGCTTATTGTATATAATTTATTTAGGAAAACATTTTATTGATTTTAATTCAGAATGTATATTAGGCGTGATCAAATGAAGTAGGTCTGAAGTGGTATAGTATATAATAATAGTGTGGAGAAATATAATAAACCCAGTTAGAATACATATGGGCATGGAATTCTTGGTTTTACTTCTTATTTATAAACTATTCAGAGATTATTCAGAGTCGTGAGTTGAATATAGATGCTTTTTTATTTTAGGTCACCAATGGAACTACAGTACCTCAAATAGATCTTGTGATATTTTGCCACTATAATGTGAATTAATACGGAGCATGACAAGGTGATATAGAAATTATCATTACTGATTATTGTAGATAACTAGGTACTTTGTTTGAATTCACTTGCAGTTCTAAAGAGAATTCTTCATATTCTGCTTTATAATAAGTTTTTTGTTTCATAATTACCTTTCAGACTATAGTTGTTAATGATCCTAATAGCCTTATATTGCCTTCTGGTGTCAGAAAACAGCTTCCATTGTACTGTACATATTTTTAACTTTCAATTTTAGGTATCTGCTTTCCAGGCTCATGATTGGTGGCAAATTAAATAAAATGGCACTAACACATAGACATTTGTTCAGATCCAGCGAGGAGATTGGCACGTGGAAATCAATGTAGTTGTGTCCATATTGCAAGTCCCACTGAATTAAGTGTGTGTGTTTGAGTGTGTCTGTGACAGAAAATGAGGGAATATTGGGAGGGTGGGAGAAAATTACAGTTTAAGGGAAAGGTAACCCAAGGAACTTAGTACATGGAAATTAGATTGCAGCATTTTTCCTGTTTTCCTTTTTGGCTTCATATATATTCATAGTTAATGTATTTAATTTAATCTTCTTTTATCTGGTTAGCTTGGACAAATTCAGCAGCCGTATAGGGTCAAGGTTTCAACCAAAGCTTTTTGATTGAAGTGTAGTGTAGTGTGTAGCTTTTTGACCAAAGAATATATTTAAGTGGTCCAGGAACCATACTCCAAATAGTAGAAATGGCCAGGAAGACAAATGGATAGAGTCAGGACAAAGCTACATTTGATTTAAATTCAATTAAAATTCAGTGAAATCAGCTGAGTACTATTAATATGATTACTTCCATGTATTTAATCATTTTCTCTTTCTGTCACATTAAAAATGACAATTTGGTTGTATGGACACTGGGAGCCTATATATGCAATGCTGGAACACCTCTGATTTAAGTGCTTTGACAGCCAAGGTACCCTTCTGTTCTTGAGGAAAAATAATGGAAAGGAAATTCCCAAGATGACAGCATCGAGTTGTTAGTAGCAATAGAACTTTCAGCAGTGGTGTCCATAACAAATTACAGTGACATCCAAATGATAACATGTAAATCTTAATGGCATGCTTGTGTAATGTCATGATATCTGACAGAAGTATGTAAGTTGTGTCATTTGAATGATGACAGACTTAACATCATTTGCCCTGCAGATGGCCATGCTTCTCATGCCTGTGGGATGAAGTAACAGCATATTCCTACCCAAGAATAGTAGCTAGGCATGACTGCAGCTAGAGCTTGATAATTTAATAGAAGGATTGGCACAGAAAGGAGATAAGGAAGGGAGGCAGTGATAAAGGACTGTCTTTATTATAGTGCTTCATGTGTTAGGATGTTCTTTCTGAGAAAATATTTAAACTTTGTTTTGCTTTGGTATATGTTAACAAGTTCATAAAATCATAGAAAATACTGCCACTTATTTATTTATTGCTGTTACAAACAATATGGAGTCTCTGTCATATAGTCCTCCCAATAAAGATTAAAACATATAGATGGGAAGTAAAATCTCTTGATAAATATTGAATTCTGAATTTTTCCCTTCTCTCCATCACCTATCATAACCTAATGTAGGCTTAACAATGTGTTTCTACTGAGGAATTACACTTGATATGTGCATGTTGTGACAAAGGCTTCTCTTTTAAAAGGCTAGAACAAATAAGTGTGTGAAGTCATTTAACATATTTAAAAGTGGAAATGTTCGCAATAGTACTGAAAAGAACATCATCGACTTTGGTGTTGACTGAAAATGGGGTTTTATGGCAGCAAGAGATCATCATAGGAGTGGTGTGCAATTTGTAGATTGCTTGTCCTTGGCTTCAGCAATTTGTGTATTGTTACAGATAGTTAACTGTATAAGTCTGCATATAGTCACTGTATAAGAGAAAATACACCACTGTCTTTTGGAACATCTTCCCCCCACTCCATCTTCTATGTGATAACCCTCAACATTTTATATGTTCATCCCTATAGCTGTGTGATTAAAATACCAATTATCCATTTTCAGCAGTCTAATGGCAGTCTAATAGTTGAAGTCATTAAACTGATATGATATTTACATACAGAAGCGAACCTTAGCATCACCACAATTTAGACAAGCAAAAATAGAAAATCACTGTATGCTAAAAATAAAGGAATATGGTTGAATGATATGTTCACTTTTCATCAAAAATAAAAAGTCTATTTTTAAAAGTCTTCAACTTTTGTTCTAAGTATGCTGAAATGAAAAAGAAAAAAAATCTCCTGGCCTTTTGATAGTAAAAAACTAAACTAAACTAAAAGTATAACATAAAGCATGGGGATGCACAAGAAGCTCATATATCTAGCTCTAGATATTTTATCTAATTTATCTACAGTATATATTCTTTATTCCAGTTATATCTGCAGTGGAGATACATATTATTTTCACCATCTTTTTAACCTACATTCTGTGATTTTTTTTGAAACGAGGCATTATGCTATGTGTAGTGAACCAGTGGAAGCACTGAAATGTTTTTTATATCCTTGGAACACCTACAGGATTTATATGGGGTCCAGAGACATTACTGTAAATAAAGATAATGATAGACACTGATGTTTTGCTTCACAATTTGCCAGATTCTCATTCATTTTTCTAAAAAATATATTAAAATACGGTAACATGAAATGAGGTGGGACAGGAAGCTTGGCAGGTATCAAGAAAGGAGTTCATCAGCATATGTTACCCATTTCCCTCTGTTCCTAGCCACATATATTGTCACAATAAGAAACCATGCTATCTTCTTGGATAGTTCAAATATGTGCAGCTTGACACTGTTGTGTGAATACTTTTGATTAAATTAAATTTCCCCTGTAATTGTTTGAAAAGGAAAACACAGCTTAATATATACATTCCACTGACATTATAACTCATTAATAGTTCTGTGTTTCACAATAAGAAAGAAATGCAACATTATTAGCTGAATTATTAATACATCTTTGCATGGATTTTCTCCTCTGCACTTCTTAATTCTAGGACCTTAAAGAACAAAGAGCTTCAAGTTACATGAGAATATTACGATCACAAATGTAAATCCTGATATCAGACTCAGGTTCTCATTTTTGCTGCTACTTCTTAAAATACGATAAAGACAATAATAAGAATAGAAAAATATGCAGATAATTTTTATCTTTAACTGCCATAAAGGAAAAAAAATCTTGCAACTCTTCATGAGAAACAGATTTTCACAGGTACCCTAATGGATGAAACTTCCTTGTCTTTTATTGGAAATAATATCATTAGCAAATAAATTTGCAGAATATTTTTATATATTTTAAAATAGCATAATCCAGATATATTCTAATGGAGTATAATTAAAACTGGACCAATATTTTACTCAGAATATCTGCTATATTGTCAATGAGCTTTCAATAGCAAATGCTGAAAGATACTGTATTCTGAGTAAAATATTGGTTAAAATATACCAATAGTTTTATTGATATAAATATCTTTCATGCTATTGAAAGTTTGGTGTTTTGTTTTTTTTTCAAATTTAGCTTTAAAAAGCTTTGTGGGTGCTTATGAATTCATCATGATTTTATATTTGTTCAAGGAATTAGTTTTGTGTGATTCAAAAGATAATTATAATTAAAATTAAATGGGTAAATTTTTTACTGCTGAGTTACTTTTTCTATCATACATTAATAAAGTCTAACAGAAACAGCACTTTCCTATTTTGCATAATAAGATAGTTTTCTCTTAATGTAGGAATACTTTAAAAATGTGATCATATTTCAGAAATAAAATCCTACATTCCAACTGCCCAAATTCAGTGAATCTTTACTCCATTTTGAAAAGAAAAAAGTTATCTGGTAATTTCCAATAAAAGACAAAGAAATTTCACCCCCATGAATTAGGGTACCTGTTAAAATGTGTTTCTCACGAAGAGTTGCGAGATTTTTTTCCTTCATGGTAGTTAGAGAATGAAATCTCCAAAAGACATTTATGGGAATTTCAATACAGAAAATATGTGGGAATTCAGGTTCATCAAGGTGTTCATACATTGTCCATCCTGATTCCCTTCTTCCTTATGTTGTCTACATAGAGGACTGTAGTGCCTGTGCTGATGATACTAGGAGTCAAAGCAAAGTTTATAGAAAAAAATGAACAGCCCTCCCCATCTTGAGCTGTCCCTTTTTTTTAAAGTTGCTTTTCCTGTTTCAAATTGTTAACTTGGATGAGATATATTGAAAATTCTCATGTGGGGACTTATTGAAGATTCCCAGGTAACTGTGTTGGATTCTGAAAAGTTAAAACTGTTTCCCAGTTGTTTTCTGTACACTGTAGGAATTTAGAGGGAGCCCAGCAGAGTTTCTTGAGAAAAATGCAATCCTAATGTAGATCAAAACATCAGAAGGAGTTTGTTTTGCCTTTATAAAATGCAACTTCTGACACTAATATATTCACCTTTTCTATTCTCACTAGTCAATACTCTCATTTCTTCAACTGCTCTGGCCCCTCCATGAATGTAACAAATGTATCAGGAAATGGCACTGCTGCCTGGGAATACAGACCCCGAATTCACTACATACTCTTATAACAACTTGGAGACACTTTGTGATGTGCAGACAAAGAAAGGAGTCTTCTACAAAAAAGCAAAACTTCTCAATCCTGGGGAAGACTTGTATTGCTTCGCCTGCAGGGAGGACCGAACCCGGAATGTGATCATCAATGTAGGTGGCATAAAATACAAAATTCCATGGACCACATTAGAGAATTGTCCCTTGACCAGGCTTGGAAAGTTAAAATCATGCAACAACTATGATGAAATAATGGATATATGTGATGATTATGATGTCAACTGCAATGAATTCTTTTTTGACCGCAATCCTTGTGCCTTCAGGACCATCATGACTTTTTTGACAGCTGGGAAGCTAAGGCTCCTCAGGGAAATGTGTGCTCTCTCTTTCCAAGATGAACTGGTTTACTGGGGGATAGAAGAGGAACACTTGGAGTGGTGCTGTAAAAGAAGAATACGACAAAAAGAGGAAGAGGTGGCAGAGGCTGCATTGTTCGAAGATGAAGTGGAAGCCAATGAAGCACCCCAATGTGCCTTCAAGGACAGTAGCCGTTTGCATTTGTGCATGAAAAAGCTCAGGGATATGGTGGAGAATCCTCATTCAGGGATCCCAGGAAAGATCTTCGCTTGTATATCTGTTTCTTTTGTTGTCATCACTGCAGTTAGCCTCTGCATTAGCACCATGCCAGATCTCAGAGAAGAAGAAGATCGGGTAAGTGCACACTATAAAAATAATGTTTACGTAATTGTAGACATTGCCAGAGACTTCTCTGTAATATTTGCTTATAGGCTTGCTTCTGTATATGCATATATACATATCTTTGACACTGGAAGTAACATAAAGACCTAGTTAATCAATATCTCATGCAGACATTCTGATTGTGATTAGTGTAGTTATAATTATTTTTCTGGGTTTATGTTAATACTTTATTATATATTTCCTCAATTAGGACAGATATCTCAATAACTGCATTTTGAACATTGTCCCAATTCTTCTTGTTTTCTTGTATCAGAAACTTCAGCTGAATCAAGTTTTTTTTTTTTCTTCTGACAGAAGTTACAGTACATAGGAAGAGGATTTTTCCCCCTGTTGTGAAGGGAGATAAATTACCTGGGGTGATGAGGCCCCAAACCTCAGAAAATTCAAAGAATGTATTTGTGAAACTCCAATAGAGTTGCAAACTGAGCACGATGAATTTTGAGAGTCTATAGTTTCCTCTGATCAGCATAAGATAGTAATAGTGTGCTGCAGTCCTTTTTATTATCAAGAACATTCTTGTCTCTGAGCTAGTTTTGAAGCTCACAGTTCATGTATAAACAGAAATCTGCAACTTTGCTTTACAGTTCCATACAAATTTCTCCCTTGGGTAGAAAACCTTGTAATGATCTTATAAAGATGAAAGTAGTGAACATTCATTCATTCATTCATTCATTCATTCATTCATTCATTCATTCATTTAAATTTATATCATGCCTTTTGTTCAAGAGTTCAAGGAATACTAGTGTTGCTATTGATGACAGACGGGCAACTTGGGTTAACAGTTAAGGATTCTGAGGAAGTAGAAAGAGCAAAATCAATGTTAAAATATTAGTAAACTTCACCAAATTCTATAAGAGGTTTTGGTATGTTTACAAAATTCTTATTTTAAATTCTGTTTAAATCTTTTAGCTTTTATAATGCAGTGCATAATGAAATGTTCATTGTTACTAGTTAACCTGTGACATTAGGGCCTGTTTTTAAAGGTTGTAAGATCTAAGTATTTCAGTGGATACATAGCCTATGGAATTTCCAAGTTTCCTATGGAAATTAGTAGGGTTTAAATGTAGTTAAGAATATATCTCTACCTTGTCTAATGGGTTTTTTCAAAGGCATCGGAATGTTATGTATAAAGCATTTATTTCAGGCTGTTAATACTATATCATCATATGTTGCTTGTAGTTCATAAAGCAGCAATTTCATTCATTCACAGTAACTAGAAGTGAAAGTTGTATTACACTCTGAAAATGTAGTTTTGATAGCTGTAAAACATCTAACAATGTCTTTTTGTTTCTAGGAAATAGATAAACAGAAATACAAAACTGTAAAATAGTTACCAATCTTACAATTAGGCCACTATAGAGAAAGATATCTGTAAGCTGAAAATAGTCCTTTGTCAAAAAAGGCAGAATCTGTTCCAAGGAATATGAAAGCTGTTCCAAGAGGAAAAAATGTGTTCCAAGAGGATGTTGCACAGAGTTAGGGAGGAGCCAAAGTTTAGTGAAAAATATTCATTAAATATATAGTCCTCAAACAGACCAAAATATTCTTTAAATAAGGTTCTTATGAACACCTGCTTAACTACAGTAGTCTAAAGGACTAGATTTTTGTAAAGAAAGTGTACAATTATAAATTATTATAATATAAATACTATATAGATCAGTGGCTAAGAGCTTTGTAAGAGTTTGCTGATTCTAAACCCAGCAGAAGTGTTTTAACTGCTAAGAGTCTTGTGATTGTGGCATGGATGAGAGAGAGAGAGAGAGAGAGAGGTAGATCTTTGATTAAACTCATACATCTGGTCATGATGTTTTTTGTCAAAATGTAGAAAAAGTAAGTTAAAAATTAATGTTAATTTTAGTCACATGGATCCAAAGAGATTCAATTAATTCATATAAGACTTTCCTGAAAAGGCTGGTTCTGTGGGCTAAAGGGCCTTTCAGAATTGCACGAAAAATCCAGGACTATTCCATTGCACAACTTAATTGCCGTATATAAGAAACACTATTATGTAATTCTGAAAAAGGAATTATCTGAGGATGTTCCATTGTCATGGGCTAGGCTGAACAGTAGTAACTTGATACCATCAGTATCTTGATCAATGTGAAGAATGTTGGGGAGAAGGTTTTGTCAGAGTGATTATATCACATTGCCTGCATCTGATGATTAGTAAATATTTTCTTGCCACTTGGTAGGCTTAGTAGCTTGCTCAACTCTACAGGCTTCCTTATTGTTTTCATTAGCACTCTCTACAATTAAAAGTAGCAAAATGTGATATTAAATTCCCCTTCATATTCCAGCAGTAGTTTTACAGCATGGGTATGTTTTGCATAAGTTAAATTCAGTTTAATGCAGCTTGCGCAGAAGAAGATCTTGATGTGCCTATGATGTCTTTCTCTTTCTCCTTCTTGCAATGATTAGTTTGATTTTTATTACAAATGCTGTGTGAGATGGTGGAGATGAGAGGGACTAAAAGTAAACATGTCCAGTATCTTTAAAACAGAGTACAGGGATTATGTTTTCAAAATATGGCTTGAGGATAGCTAGAGAAAGTGCACTTATAATCAAAGCACCAGAGAATGTGGTATAGTAATTTTTAGACAGCCAGTGCTGTCAAGAAAACTACAAAAACATAATTTCAGGATAAAACTGATAGTCTTACGCTGGTGATAATAAGCCACTGTCAGCATGCAATCTCCCTAAAATAACATATTAATATAATTAGTGGTAGCAACCAAATGGTGGAGATAGTTAAAATTCAACAAAGAAATGATAGGACACTTATTAATATGCCACTGGAAAAGTAAAGCAAAACGTCATAAAGAGCCCTGAATTGTAGTGTCTATTTCTAGTCTAGTATAACTATGAAAGGGGAGCAAATCTATTTTGGCTTTGCAGATCAGTGGGAGCAATCTAATATTAAGATGATACTAGGTGTCAAATGGAAGGAACGGTTAAAACTCAATGCTTGTAAGCAGCCTGTAATCACCTGTCTGCTTCCAAGCATAAATTATTATAATAATTATTATAATAATTACAGCTAGCTTTTAGCACTCTTCCAAAGACTACTTTACATAGTGAATATCCAATTAAATATAGTTGCTGGATTATGCAGGTGACCTGTAGCATAGAAATTAAAACTAAAAAATAATTTCAAAAAAGGTTGAAATGTTGTGAGTTTATCGTTTATATAACCTTGGCATCCTCACTCAGAACTGCCAAGGTATCAAGTAACAACTTTGAAATCTTGTCAGATTTGGAGATATCAGAATATTATGGCAATTTTGTTTTTGTTTTAATTAATTTTTATTAATTTTGGATTAAAGATGGCTTTTAGAGAAACAAGGAGTGGGGAAGTTCTGCTGTTGTTTATTTTGGTTTAGGTAATCTTTTGTTGTCAATCAGTTCACAAATGCCAGTTTTATATGGTTTCATACTTGGAAAGAAGTCTTATTTGATTGCAGTTCCCTCATTTGGACAATGTCACTTTCTGCCCTTACTGGTTGTTCAGATTGTCTAGAGCAACTTATTGTTATTTGCCACCTTGTCATGTTTTACTGTTGTGTTCTCTCATAATATTCTGAGACAGTTCTTTCTTTATATTCCCCCATTCATCTTATAATACCTTGCCAATTCAATAGATTGTTCCTACTAAGTAGATCATGCAGTTCCTTTTGCTCATAATTGCATTCCTTTGTTTGTCCTAAACTCATCCACATTTTTCCGGAAACCTGTTCTTTGTCTCTGTCAGCCTTAGATTATCTGTTGGTATTGCAAGCCAGTATTTTCTCATTTGTACCCATTGTTTTCATCTGTTCAGCTTTTCACTCTGGTTTTCATTTCCTCTACTGCAGTTTTTTCACCAGTTCTTCACCAGTTACACTAAAATGGCCACCCATAGTTTTAACATAGTTGGTACATATAAGTTACCATAGTATGCATAACTTAATTTCACAAGAGCTGTACTTCATTGTCTAGTGCCAGATATACTACTGGAGTGAATTCTAGTGATTACAAACAATGAATTAACATAACTTTGCATCCCTCAGATGGATATATTCTAACCTCTTCCATCACAAGCAAACTAATCTTCAGAGTGTTATATTTTCAAGTGACTACTGCTAGACTGACTACTATATTGGTACAATCTGGGCCAATTTAGGCTGGTAGTTGCATCTAGTAATGTTGATAATAAACATTTAGAAAGTTTGCTTGCCCCTCCCCAATCAAATTATAGAGAGTTGTTCTACTTTTGTCATAATCAACATTACCCAGTGATGACACTGAAAACAATTATTGGGTAATACAGCCTGCACATTTTTAAGATTGACAGCAAAGGACAGAGCTCCTGTCCCATCTCATCCAGTTTCTTCTCCTCCCATTATCAAACCTACTTTGCTAAAGGTTTCAGTTCCTCCCATCCTTAAATGATGATTTACAAATATATTATTATTTGCTCTTTTACATACACATTTTCTTCCATGCCTGTTCCTTCACAAGGAGTAAGAAAAGAATTATCTTTTGGCAACTTCTTGGTTTGTCTTCAGGTTTTTGATACTTCATGGAGACTACAGAAGCCATAAAGCCCAGAGCAGTGGACTAGGGGGAGGAGAGGAGAGGAGAGGAGAGGAGAGGAGAGGAGAGGAGAGGAGAGGAGAGGAGAGGAGAGCTTGGAGAAATTTGATTGGTGGAATGGGACCAAAAAGAAGGAAGCATGAATTTGAAATCCAATACATAGCAAGAGAAGGTAAAGCTACTAGATGGAGACTTTTTACTTCCTAAAATGCCAATGGCCTATTTTGAAGCCCTTATTCTAAGTATCTAGTTCATTATGTTTTGTAACTACATGCGCTTCTGACAAAGTCCATGAGATTGGTCCTAGACAACCATCTGAGACTGGAAATTTGCCTTCATTCCTTAAATTAGATGACAGGCATAGACCAGGAGAGAGACGG